TATTCATCATCAATGGAAATCTTTTGAAGTTGTTCATCGACCTTCTTTTGCATCATCTTATCTGCTAATCAAGAAAAAAGTTTGGAATTAAGAAAAAGATTCATCATAAACCACTATAAATATTAATATCTAACAAAAGTTCATACCTGTTGGCCAAAAAATTAGGGCCCCTGCTTAATTAGGGTTATATGATCACTTATCTTAAGACATGTAACTGAGTGGGTCAGAGTTTTGCAGCAGCTTTTAGAAGATACAATTTGTTGGTCAAAATTAGAAGTCATACTAGCAATTATAGTTATAGACTTATCAAAATGGGAGACTATTGGATTAGGTGTCTAAGCCCATAACTATAATTGGTATGTACTTGAATTGATAGCAGCACAGTCCTTTTGGGTTGCCCTCAAACCTTGCAAACTGGACAAGGAAATTATGAAAAGAAAGATATTGATTTTTTATAAGATTAATAAATTAATATAATTGATTCATTAATATGTTAAAATGTTAATATATTAATTAGAAATCATAAGGTTTAATTAATAGTTAGTCAGAAATTAATTAGAATTAATTTTGGGGTTAACTGTATTAATTATAAAGTACAAGGACTAGTTTGCAATTATCAAATAGTTGAGTGGAAGGTTCCAGAACCTCCTTGAAAGGGGGTGGACGAAATCTATAGGGGAAACCCTAATGATTTCGTCCAAGGGGCTTGGATAAAGCCTTTGGATAAGCTTAGACCCCAAGCGAAGGAACATTAGGGTTTTTCCTTAACCCTAGATCCCTCAGCTATATAAGGAGCCTCCTGGCACCTAAAATTGGTCACTCCTTCCTTGAAGAAACCCTAGGGCCAAAAATTTCATACCTTACTCTCTCTCTCTCTCTCTCCCCCCCCCCTCTCTCTCTCTTGCCTTTAAGTTTCCTTCTTGCTAGCTTTTGGGTGTGACTCTATTAGAGGCATTACATTTGTGGTATTAAGCTTCCAAGAAGATCAAGATCAAAAGGATTACCAATTGTTTCCTATAACAATTGAAAGGTATGTACCTCTTCAACCCTAATTGGTTAATTTCGAAAATAGCCTCTCTCCTTAGGGTTCTTGTTTTGCAATTCAAAGTTGTATGTTCAATAGTTAAAACATAGATCCAAAGTAGGTTGCATGTGAACTTAGGAATGTTTCTAGTTTATTATAGTTACAGACTTATCCAAATGGGAGACTATTGGATTAGGTGTCTAAGCCCATAACTATAATTGGTATGTACTTGAATTGATAGCAGCACAGTCCTTTTGGGTTGCCCTCAAACCTTGCAACTGGACAACGAAATTATGAAAGGAAAGATATTGATTTTTTATAAGATTAATAAATTAATATAATTGATTCATTAATATGTTAAAATGTTAATATATTAATTAGAAATCATAAGGTTTAATTAATAGTTAGTCAGAAATTAATTAGAATAAATTTTGGGGTTAACTTTATTAATTATAAAGTACAAGGACTAGTTTGCAATTATCAAATAGTTGAGTGGAAGGTTTCAGAACCTCCTTGAAAGGGGGTGGACGAAATCTATAGGGGAAACCCTAATGATTTCGTCCAAGGGGCTTGGATAAAGCCTTTGGATAAGCTTAGACCCCAAGCAAAGGAACATTAGGGTTTTTCCTTAACCCTAGATCCCTCAGCTATATAAGGAGCCTCCTGGCACCTAAAATTGGTCACTCCTTCCTTGAAGAAACCCTAGGGCCAAAAATTGCATACCTTACTCTCTCTCTCTCTCTCTCTCTCTCTCTCTCTCCCCCCCCCCCTCTCTCTTGCCTTTAAGTTTCCTTCTTGCTAGATTTTGGGTGTGACTCTATTAGAGGCATTACATTTGTGGTATTAAGCTTCTAAGAAGATCAAGATCAAAAGGATTACCAACTGTTTCCTATAACAATTGAAAGGTATGTACCTCTTCAACCCTAATTGGTTAATTTTGAAAATAGCCTCTCTCCTTAGGGTTCTTGTTTTGCAATTCAAAGTTGTATGTTTAATAGTTAAAACATAGATCCAAAGTAGGTTGCATGTGAACTTAGGAATTGTTTCTAGTTTATTTGTTTTACCTAAAACCCATCACTATTTTGGTCTAAATATTTAGCATTCCAATGGCCCAATCTCTCTTAATCATAAAGGCTCAATTATGGCCTAAATTTCCAAATTAGGCCCAGGTCTCTCACATGTGCCTTACCCTAAATCTCATCCAATTATTTTGGTCCGTTTACTTGTTCTTGGGCCCATCAATAGTCCAATCAGCAAAGCCCAATGGGAAGGCCTAATTCAAGGCCCGAGTGAGATTAGGGTTTTCACATGAAATGATGGTAAGGGTTAAATGTTCCTACTTAACCCATTAAGGACTTATTCCATTAAGGACTTAATCCATTAAGTCCAATATTGTTGTAGGTTAACTTGCACCTATCTATTAACTATTATTTTAAGTATAATAAGTAATTATCGTGCAGTCCCGATCAATCCCAAAATTAGGGTTTCAAGGCATTAGGGTTTTCCAAACCCTAATTAGGGTTTCCCACCCAAATACTAGCCCATTAATCAAATGTTAGGGCTTTTAGGTCAATTAGGCCATCATTGGGCCCATTAGGGTTTCATTGGGCCCACTTTGTCCAATCATCCCCAAAGGATTCAAAGCGTAAACGAGGCACACCGCCAGCCAACACGACGGTGGGTGGCAGTAGGAGACGACAGCCAACACCTCACGGTGGTGGTTATATGCTTTTTATTATTAGTTTGGTAGATTACAATACATTACAACACAATCCAAATAACATATATATACACACACAAATAAAACACACACACAGCCGCTCTGTGGCGGTAAGCAGTGGCACGTGGTGGCAGCCACCATGGCTGGCGGCCATGGTGGTCCCTTTACATTTCCGGCCAACAATAACGAGCCTAGAAACGAATAGCAATAGCAGCACTTGACGAAATACGCCAAACGATCGTAGCCACCCACCTGGTGGCGTGCAATGGTCGGAGGTCATTAGCCAAGGCGAAGTAGCTACATGGCGGTGGCAGCGACAGTTGACGGGTCCCAATAGTAGTGATGAAGAAAGTGAACACAGGGTTGTGCCGTCGGCGGACAGAGGCTAACGGCTGCTAGACGTGTTTGACTGGTCTCCCCACGACCACAGGGTTGGACTCGAACACTCGCTTCGCTGGCGATGAGAACAGCGGCAGTGCTATGACGGCTTCACTGTAACAGTGGAAGGATCCAGGCGTTCACGGCCCACACGTCGATGTCCGGCTTCCACTCGGTCTTCGGCATTATCGGCTTCTCCGGCGGTAGAGCTACAACAGCGACGACATGAATGACGATGCCTCGCCTTAGACGACACCCTAATGGTGGTGTTCGCCCTTAGCCACAGTAGGAACAACAAAGGTGGATACAACCCAGTGGTCCTCATCGACAGCTTCATTCTTAACGACAATGGCACGACGGTGGTTTGCAACTCGACGAAATTGGGAGGGGGGTTAGCGGCACCGGAGGTCGGAGGAATAAGGGGTGGTGGCGACTGGAGGGAGGTGAGGTGAAGTTGGCGGCTAAAACACCGATTAGGGTTAGGGTATAGAGGGTTGATGGCTTTTATATATTCCGCTCCATTCAAACTTTTGCCAATAATGGCAAAACCGTTCCCTCCTTCTCCTTTTCCCTTCATATTAAGTCCTAAAATTACCATTTAGCCCCTGACTCCTTAAAATCATTTCAACTTTTATACAATATTTTACCAAATGGCCCCTCCATGACAATTTCTTTTCCGCTTAGGTACATAATTTACCCTTTTTGCCCCAGCCATCCAAAAACCTTTCAATTTAAGTCCGATATTTACTATTTAACCCTTGTTTCCATAAATTCTTTTATATTAAGTCCAAATGATTCTTTAAATCATGTCATTTGGCTTCCCGAAACCAACATCCCGTTAATTATTATTTGGTTTTGGGCTATAATAATATAAAATAATAATAATAATTACTTCTCGAGGTTATGAGTTTATTATTTAATTATTTTATTTTAAACGGGGTGTTGCACCATGGCAATTACATCCGAAATGGACTAAATCCTTCCATTTTTACATATTCTTCAATATAATCACAACTGATGATTGGGTCGCAGCACCAAGCAAAGGAGCAAATCTGAAATCGAGTGTTACATTTCTACTCCTTTTTCAACATTGTACTTTTCTTCCAAAGTGTTTCAGACTACCTTGGGAGATTTCATTGGAGAGTACATTCTGTAGATGATTAATAAGAATGTCGAGAATATAGACTCTAGACAACATTTCATCATGTTCGCACCGTATTTGTTCTTCTTCATTGAAAACAACAACCTGGGGTGTTTCCAGAACATAGTAAACCTTTCCATGAACCAACATAAACTTCATCTTTTCCTTCCATCGTGTAAAATTCAATCCATCCATTCTGTCAAGTTTGATAGAAATTCAATCCATCCATTCTGTCAAGTTTGATAGAATCCTGACAGATCATTTTTTAAAATTGTGCTTGAGGCATCCATCTTTAAATATTCTTAAGTGTGTTAGAGTATGAATAAAGAATTGAAAATACAATACAGAAAAACAAGGATGTGAATACATCATTCTCTTTAAGGATAATTAACCACCACTACAATCATTAATGGGTTTAAATGTCTGAGATCTTCCCAGGACCTCCTCGATCTTCAAGATTACATGCAATGATTACTTTTGTGATTATATTGAAGAATATGTAAGAATGAATAGCAAAAAAAACTGTTCACATTAAAAAATAAATAAATAAATAAATAAAAAACCGATATTTAGTTTTCATTCCAAAATAACTATTAACAAAAAGTTAACCTCTGTTTAATTTAGGGAATTTTATGTGCATGTTTAACTCTACATTAACCATGCATAGTCTTTAATTTACTAACATATAGTGCTTAGAGTATATAATATTAATATTGCCAAAAATTGTTTTACACATACCTACCTTTATTGTTCCCAACAAATTGTTTTTGAAACAATTCAAATGAAATTACTATTATAAACCCACAAAAGTTTTTTTATCCACCAATAGGGATACTTAGTCAAAATAAGAAAATAATAAACCACATAATATTAATGATAAATACTACTTGCTCCAACATGGAATATCTAACTTCCCAAAGCTATCGCCGATGGTTTGCTGCGATTATTACCGGATTCGATGGAGTTCATTGCCAAAAGTTATCCCTCGTCTATGATGGATATTTTCGGAACATCAATGTTCATATTTCACCAATAATGACAAATGTATTAATCTAATACGAACAAAAATCAAAACATGCATTTAGCTATTTAAAAAAAAAATACATTACCCCTACTCTACCCCACCTACTTTACTTTGAAGATTCTTGAAACGTTGCTCGTCAAGTCTTCATTTGTAATTTTGTATCTACATATATATCCAACAAGAAAGGATTCCTTGTATTCTGTCTGCCACTATATCCAAAATAATGCACCCAATTTTTTCGGGATCAAAATCAAATAAACGTGTTCTTTTCAAGAAAAAAAAATAACATTATTTCAACTAAGAATGAACTTTAATTCATACATATAAGTATTTGGCTATTAACAAAACCAATAACTATTCTATTTATAGTTAAAGAATCAAAGTAAATTATTTATAAGCTTGTCTTTGTCAGATCATACGACACAATTACGATATCTTAATGTCTTCAATATATTCCTTTTTCCAAACATACTGTCATTCTACAATTATCATCTTACTTAAACTTACTTTTTATTTCATATACTCAAACATTATACAAAATTTACAATCAACTTATATGTATATATAGCAAGATTTTCAAGAAATAGAATGCCTTCTGTCTTTACTTAGCTTATTCGTACTTCTAGTAACAGAAGGTGAAACCCCATGATCAGCCCTAAAAAACGGAGTAAATTTCACAAGCTTTTTCGATATGGTGTTCATGAATGATCTTTGAATCAACGGTGACTTATCAGAATTTGATATCTTCATCTCTTTTAATTTCATTTTCACTTTCAAGAGCTCAAATTTCAAATCTTGATTTTCTTTTTCTAAACTTGAAAGATCATCTGGTAATGGGTTTAGTACTTCAGATCCATCATCATCATCTATCTTATCTTTTAACCGTTGTTGTTCATGGTAAAGAACTTGAACTACCGTTTCAGCAGAAAGCCGGTCATTTCGGGCAGCATGGGCAAGCGTGTCGGGGGTTAGGTTTTGAAAGTTTATCAAATTGCAAAGCTTCTTTCTTTCGGTATCACCTAAAATCGGGTGAGCCTAAAAGATTCAAATCAAATATAAATTACTGTTAGCCCACAACTTAAGGGTCTTTTTAGTTGGATGAAATGGAATTATGAAAGAAGGTAATGATGAAGGTAACAAAGTGAATCATTACATTCCATAATCATGTTTGGTTTGTGTGAGAAAATACAATGATTTTCATTACACAGTTTTATACTATTTACTTTAATAAATGAAGATTTTTTTTTGACACATGTTACACTTTTATTCAATTTGTCAAATGTTAATTTTATGGTTATTTTGAATTAATTTATTTTTCACATATCATTTTATAGGTTTTTCTAGAAAAAAGAAACATCATAAATGGTCCCTGTGGTTTCCTAAAATCTGAAGTTTAATCCCTGTGCTTTAAAAACGTCATAGATGGTCCTTATTCTTTCAAAACTTTTGACGATTGGTTCTTATTGCTAACCCCGTTAAGTTTGTCCGTTAACTAAATGATATTTTCGTCTTTTCACGATCACAGGGACCATTTATGATGGTTTTTCTCACACACACACACACACAAACCCACCCAAACGTTTCCTTCTTCCTTTCCCCTTCGTGCTCTCATCTATATCTCTAAAGACTCCAAAAATCCTTCATCCAATTGTCGGAAAACATCTACCTTAACCCAAATCGAAACTAGAAATTAGACCCATTAATTGCTCCTGATGAATCTTTACAAGCTTTTTTCCAGTTTTTCCTGTAGCGCCTTGCTTGAGCCCTTTTCCCTATCACAGTTTCTCTAGGTTATTGTCTTCATCATAGGTTGTTGCCACCGTAAAGGACGAAAGTAGGATAGCCATGAACGAGGATGACGACGTCACCCGGATGGAAAGCTTGTTAGATTTGTACAACATTCGGCGACCTAGAAGCCCTAATCTGGCAAGTTTCTCAAAGTAATTTTCATTCTCGATTGTTAATTTGTCTATGTTGGGTAAGTTTAGTTGGTGGCTATAGACGTGTAGTGGTTCTTGATGGTGGTAGTGGTGATGGTGAGACTGAATTTGTATGGCGGTGGAAGCGGGTAGATGGTGGTTGATATGATCAGAGAACAGAGACGGTGGTGGAAGAGAAAGAGTGAATCAGTTCTTCCTTTGCAACCTTTTCTTTTCTTGTACCCATTTCTTTCCCTCTCTATCGATCGATCTCTCACAGAATCTCGTTTCCCTCGTAAAGAAGATGATGCTCATATGTTTTTGTTTTTCGGTGTAGGTAGTGGAAAGGGAGAGATGATGATGGGTGATTGATAAAGAAGACGATGAACAGTGGGCCCCATTTCTTTCTCTGATGAATCATGTAACGAGAGAGAGAGAGAGAGAGAGAGAGAGAAAGAAAGAAAGGGGGGAGGGAATTTCATTTTTCTTTCATTTTAAAACATCATAAATGGTCCCTATGATCGTGAAAAGACGAAAATACCCTTTAGTTAACGGTCAAAACTTAACAGCGTTAGCAATAAGGACCAATCGTCAAAAGTTTTGAAAGCACAAGGACCATCTATGATGTTTTTAAACCACGAGGACTAAACTTCAGATTTTAGAAAACCACAATGACCATTTATAATGTTTTTTCGTTTTTTTATTTTAATAAATTCCACATAATACTTTAATGTAATAATAATTACAATAAATATATTATTAAAATAATATCAATTTCATTAACTGACTTAGCTTCTTATTTTAAAATTCTAAAACTAAAGTTCTTTATTTTATTTTGTTTATTTATTTAAATTTACAAGATAAAAAAATCAATTTCAATACTTCATTATTTTTTTTATAAATCCAAAATTCTTAAATATTTAGATATTTATATTTAATATTTTTAATTAATCCATGTAATATATGGATCTTACACCTAATACGTAAATAAAAGGAATAGTTTTAAGTTTCGATATTTTTATTTATATTATTCAATTATACTTAAAGAATTTATTATTACAAAACAATATATATATATATATATATATATATATATATATATATATATATATAATAAAATTTCATCAAAATGCATATAAGATTATAATAAAAAATAAATATTTTCTAGTTTTTTTTTTCAGAAAATAAAAATTATAACTTAATTTTAAATCATGAAAGTCCTAAAATAGGTTTTGTGTCATTAAAAAGTTTTTAAAAAAGGGCTATATTATACTTTTCCACCCCTCCCTAGACAATGAAAATTAACAAAACGGAAGAAAAAAATAAATTTTCTTGTGGAATGGTACATTTCTATTCCATCATGCAAACAAACAATTTTTTTTTCCTTTCCCATTTTATCATAAAGTGACTCATAATTCTCACTTTATATCCATGTGGTTCTTCATCACAACTATTGATCTTTACTTAATATTCAAAAGTTAGTGTAATGAAAGGGGTAAAAGCCACAAAAAACACTCTTTTTACATAGAAATTCGATTTTGACACCTTGTTTTTTTTGTGTCAAATTTGAAACTGTATTTTCCAATTTGTTATAATTCTGACCACTTGACCGGTTAACCAGGTTACATGCTGACGTGACATGATGACGTGTCATTTTTGATGACGTGGCATGCTGACATGATATGCTGACGTATCAAAATTGATTTTTTTTCCACAAAAAACACTAAGTTTTCACTTTTTTCGATTTTGACACTAAGTTTAATTTTTTATTTCAATTTTAACACTATGTTTTTTTTGTTCCAATCGAACATCATTTATTAAATTTTGTTCAATTTTGTCTATTTTTCATTTTAAATCTTATAAATATATTTTTTTTATTACATTTTAAACCGTATAAACATATTTTTTTCGTTTAAAAACCACATTTTTATTTAAATACTAGTGTTTTTTTTTCTTACATTTAAAGCATTAGTGATATTATGAGAATCAAATAACCATAAGCTTCTAATAAGATGTAAAAATTTGATGTGTTGCAAACTTGATATCCGAGTTTTGATCAACTACACGCCTCCAAACCTCCAAACACATTTTAAAGTTGCATATTTAATATAAAATATAATTTTTATATAACTAGTACATATTTATACATAAAAATATGGTTTAAGTGTAAAAAAATGTATTTATACAAAACTATGGTTTTTAAATGAAAAGAAAAACATATTTATATGGTTTAAATGTATTAAAAAATATTTATATAGTTTCAAATAGAAAATTGTCAACATTGAACAAAATTGGAAAAAAATGATGTTTGATTTAAAACAAAAAAATATAGTGTCAAAGTTGAAAGAAAAAATTAAACTTAGTGTCAAAATCGAAAAAAATGAAAACGTAGTGTTTTTTGTGAAAAAAAAATTCAATTTTAACACGTCAGCATATCATGTCAGCATGTTACGTCATCGAAACTGACACATCATCATGTCACGTCAGAATGCAACCTAGTTAACCGGTCAAGTAGTCAGAATTGTAACAAATTGGAAAATACAGTGTCGAAATTGACACAAAAAAAACACGTTGTCAAAATCGAATTTCTGTGTAAAAATAATGTTTTTTGTGTCATTTACCATAAAGAAAAAGTACCTTCAAGTAGATATCAATAGCTCTATAGATTCCATCCTCCATTCCCCTTTCTTGCTTCGGTAAACATTCAACAAGATTTACAAATTTTGACACCGAAAAGTTACAATCCGAAGCAATTTCAGCAAAATAACTCTCCATGAGCTTCCTAATCTTCTGAATATCATCACAATTACCCTCAACATCATTATAATTCATCAAGATTCGTTGCACAGTGTCAACATCAAACAATGTGTCACCATCAAACCGAAAAGAAGGAATCAATATGTCATCCAACACAGCTTGTTCCAGTTGTAACCCTATTCTTTTCTCCAAATCAAGCCTACATGCCACTGTTGTTTCAAGGTGTATTGAAGATCGAAGTAGCATTGAAAGGAAATTGACTGAAATGGCATTTTTTTCTCTTGGTAAGAGACTAACTATTGTTTCTAAAACTACCCTTTTCTCGTTTTCTTGATTTGGGTCACTTTTGTTCTTGCCATTTCGTAATATCTCCTGCATGATTGGATAGAAGACATGTGGAGATCATTTGGAATGAATTCAAATGTTGCATTGTTTTTTGGTGTTTAATCTTTAAATTAATAGTATAATTCATTAACATAATATAATGGGTTAATTACAAAATTGACCAAATATAGGAAGTACGCATAATAACCAAATGACCACTTTTTTTTCACATGTAACACGAAATCACCACCCACTTTGCAAAATCGATTTTGTGATTTACAAAATTAATGCTTTATGAATGATCATCATATTTCGCGAAATAATAATGTCATTTTGCATTAAAAAAATATAAAGAAATTTCACAAATCGCATAATCCATTTTAACTTCAAAAGTTGATCGTTTTATTTTGTTATTACGCATCTCTTATGTTATGGTTTCTGTCACTAACGCTAACTTTAAAGATATTAAAATTAGTTGTGCACTATGTATTTCAACTTGTGTTTCATAAAATAAGTGAATTTGTGTAGAGAGAAATAAGAATACATAACAAATCTTACCAAATCTTGGAGACACTTTTGGGCATAAAGCGTTAGAATCGGACCAAATGCACACTTATTGAAACCCCTTGAAATCATTGCAAGAAGAACCCTTTGAAAGGTATGAATTTTTAAAACAATCAAATCTTCAGCCCACCAATCAACAACTTTTAGATGACAAAATGAAGAAGATGAAGAATCCAATCCATCACTACTACATCCTCCACTTGCTGACAAAGAGAACTCACATTCTTTCATGACTATGAACGCGATACAGTCTACACAACGTGTGACAAGTTTGACATTTTCAGAAATTGGCAAGAAAGTTTCCGATGATTGTAAAATGGAAACAGCAGAAGTCAATGATTTAAGTCCCACTTCGTTTATATATGCCTCGGTTCTTGCTATTAAGTTTCCAATTGCATAGTTTTCTGTCATTTCAAGAAACTCAGCCACACATCTTGCCATCGCAATGTTTTGAATTGTTAATTCGAAGTTTATTCCATAACAAAACTTTGCTGCGAGTTCGAATCCTTCGGGCCCACCTGGGATATCATTGATTTCGATTATGCGATCACTTTCTTTAAAGTTTGACATAAGTTTCCTCATGTAACCACATTTCGACACTAATGGAAACTGCATTGTTCAAAAGAAAACAAGATTAAAACTTTTGTTTCAATCTTTAATCATCAAAGAATTTCAACATGACATGGACTTTACCTTATGTAATGAAAAAGAAATTCCTTTTACGTTGATTGTAACATCACTAGCGATTTCCTGGGAGGAAATCCTGCAAAAGTTTATAAAAAAGATGAAGTCTTGAAACATCTTTTCTGGAACTTTAACTCATTAAGTACACAACGAAAATGAAAAATCGTAAAGGAGAGAATAATGAAAGCAAACCATTCAGTAGTTCTCTTCATGGCATTACTCATGAGCTCTTTTTTCTTAGCATGCATCATGTCAAAGGGTGTTGGCATTGGAGCTCCGTTTTCTTGAACATCCACCATGCATGACAATGATTGAACATTCTTGATTTAATTAAACATGATCCACACTTCAATATATAGAAAAATAAATCAAGTGATCTACAGAAAAATGGAAATTTTACCTTGGCCCTACAAGGAGCTGGAATAGTATAACTACAAGCTTTGATTCGGCTTGATTTAATTTACCGATATTCTTGATACACAAGCATTCAAGAAATACCGAAAATGGGTATAGGAATTTAGCTTAAAAGGATCAAGATATCGGGGTAAAACAGTCTTTTCCATGAGATTGAGGGAAAACGATGCTGTTTTGTCAGTGTGTTGTGGTGGGGTGCAAATGGGTTTGATAATAGTTGGCCAAAGATTGGATGCTTTCGTCTACTTGTCATTGTGATAATTCATCGAACGCGTTGTTAGGCTGAGAGCTTTTTCTAAATTGAGATGAACAGCCTCACTGCGACACTGATGAACAGTTGTAATTAAATCCAATCGTTACAAGTTACAAACATCCGTACAAATTACGTAGAGAAGACTCTATCTTCTCAAAGATAATATTGTTAAAAGTTATGATTGAATAGTAGTATTAATTTAACCAAATGATCAGTCGATATCGTGACGTAAAACATGCTCATGTGACATTAAAGATGCCTGCATGCATGATGAAGATGGGCTCCTTCGCAGGTACGTATAGTTCACATCACATATTTCAAAGGATTGCTTCCTAATGTTGACTGATCATGCATATTTAAATACTTATAAATATAAATAAATAAATAAAATTATATATTTAATATTTAAAATAATAAATTATGGTTCTCATAATTGCTTGTGTGCCGACAATGATTCGTAAATAACACAGAAAAGTAAATGTAAAAATTTTCATTAGATATTTTAATTGCTTACATACCTAAACATGATAAAATATTAAAATGTAACGATTTTATTCACAAATTAATCTTAGCCAATATTATTTTTATTTAAAATGTGGTGTTTTACCTAAATAACATTTAAATTATTCATTTTGCAAAACAATTATAATCAATTATCGATGGCCCATTCTTGTAACTTGTGAGAAGCCCTTGAAAGGTCACAATCAATGTAAAACATCTTCCAAACGCAATTGGAGACACGTACGTATGGATGTGTGATGTTTAAGTTAATATTGTTTTGATCATTCTTTTGTCTCAATTAATTATCTATAAACTGTTTTATAGATTATGAAACAACATTTTGTGCCTACTTTTTTGAAGAAAAAAACCCCCTAAAAACTATATTTTAATAAATGAAGTTTTGATATACTTGTTTTAGATCGTCTACAATCCAATTTTATTTTAACAACAAAATAGATTAAATGAATGACGAAAACAATGCTTTTTTCCAACTCTACACAATTTTTTAAATCAAAACAATGTACTCTTTAATATTTTTATTTTTATATAACTTTTATAGATGGAAAAAAAAAAAAAAAAAAAAAAAAAACCTCTATTCAATTTATTATTTTTTTGTTGTAAAAACTTTGTTAAATATATATTACAAAATTATAACACTCATCCTTTTCCATAACAAAAGTATTATGGTTTTGAAAACATTTTATAATTTTAATCAAAGTTATCAAAATGTGATCCAACAAAAACCAAAATGGTTTATGATATGGACATATTTAGTTACAAAATTCATGCATTATCTTAATACTTTATGTTGTTTTTGTCTCATTTAATGAACAAAATGTGCTTAATTAGTTTATAATTTCATTTTTCAGTAACAATGACATGCTCGGATGGAAAATGAAGCAGAACTAGCGATTGGAAGCTTGGATCTTGGATTTTGAAGAAAGAAGGATGTTGCTGGACAGCTTGACCTTTCGTCAGTGTTTTGGTCATATCTCATGAACCGTAACTCCGATTGATGAGATTCAAAATATTCTGAAAACTAGACACAATTTCGGACGACTTTCATGTTTTGAGAAAATGCTGATTCCAAATGGAGTCGATGAGTAGCCCATCAACTTGACGAGTTAACCAGAAGTTTCGCGATTCTTGACTTTGCCTTGTCGTGCACGGGTTTTAAGTGATGGCTCGCCGAGTTGGTCACTTGACTCGTCGAGTAGCCCCTGTTTTCAGAATATATATATATATATATATATATATATATATATATATATATATATATATATATATATATATATAAACGCTTCTCATTCGAACCCTAACTAATGGGGGAAGTTTAGGATGATTTTTGGAGGCCAGAAGGGTTCTTAGAAGCTGTGGTTTTCGAGATTTCAACCTAGATATCAACTTGGAAGAAGATTAAAGGCAATAACACACTACTTTCATCTTAATCTTTTGCATAAACCATGTTTCAATCATTAGATTATGTTTTTAGTTTGTTATTTGCTGTGGATATGAGCTAAAACCTCATAACTTCTGTTTAGGATAGATGATTTTGTGATTATGGTTTGATTTTATGGTTGGATTGATTCAATTTATTGATTCTGTTTCGTTAAGCTTGTTAAAGAACCTTATGTGTTAATAAGAACTATTTTCTGTTAATAAATTAGTAATTAAGTTGTATGAACATCTCTTAATTGCTAATCTCATATGATTTATGTGAACACATAGTTATATGCCTAGGAATAACGAACGTGAAACTAGGGTTAACTAGAAAATGGGTACGTTAATGTGTGAGCTTGTGTGACGAACCATGAACAAGGAGTTAATTGAATTAGCATATTTGATTAGCTTATTACAAGTCTTACTGAACCCGAATTAATAAACTAGGAAATCTATTAGTTTAATCACTTGATCACTGCTTGAATTGATATGTTTTCTAAGGATTAGTAATAGCGAACGTAAACCTAATCACACTAATCGGTAGCCAATGCCAATTAATCCATTGCACTTATCATAAAATCAATCATAGAAATAAATGATTCAAACCTAAACAGAAGTCCTCTTTATTATTTAATTTAGTTTATTTTTATTTGCTTAGCTCTTAGTTTCTTAGTTTCTTAGTTTAAGTTTTAGTTAATTGTTTAAGTTTCTAGTCTTACAAAACTAGAGAAAACCCCATTTCTATTACTTGTTTTATTTAGATAATATTAGCATTTATTTTAATTGTTTACCGTTCCCTGTGTTCGATACCCTACTTACCTGAACTAAACTGCTAATCGATAGGTACACTGCCTTTTGTGTGTTTGTCTTTGTGTTTAAGTTAGTAGGACTAAAACTAGTTTGTTTCACACACATCAAGTTTTTGGCGCCGTTGCCGGGGAACGGTTCTAATTAGTTAATTTTATTTGCTAATTCTTATCATTTTTTTTATTTGTTGATTAATTTTTTTATATAGTTTAATTTTTATTTATTATGTGTTTTTTAAATCTCGATGCTTTTGATGCTTTTCTTGAGGAAGTAGTGCAGGTAAATGAGCAAAAAGATGAGGACTATGACTAAGATGATGATTTGAAGAAATTTGATAGATGTTTAGATAACATCTTGTCTAAAGATCAAGAACAATTTAAGTCACAAGAGCTAAAGTTACAAGATGAAGAATTTAATCCAGAGAGAGATTTGGAGGAGCTGGAAAGGTTGCTAGCAGAGATTTCAAATGAAGAACAAAAACAAGTTGAATTGCAGGAACCAACCCGTGGTTTGACCATTACCACGACATGGTCCCCTGTTCTTCCGGTTTGTCTTTCAAAGCATGGGGTGACGATTCCAACTTTGGAGAAAGTTCTGAAGCGCGATCCATTTTTTATTAGTATCCGACCGGTTCCAACCCTTGTCAAGATTCTTGGGTTTCATGAATTCAAGCTTGTTTGGCTAATTTTAGAAGCAAAGAGCCAAATTTTACAAATTGGTCCACCAAAGAAAATATTTAATGCAATGGATGGAATGGCATCGAATTTATTAGAATTTTATTAAGTTGGGAGTCCAGCTAAAGATTCGCACAAAAAGAAGCGCTCGCGGGAGGCAACCCGTCATTAGAGATTGCTTTTCTTTTTTCTTTCTAAACTTCTAGTATTTAAGGATAATTTAGGATTTTTATTTTGATGTTTTTTTTATTACTTGGTATTTGTTTTTGATCTTTACAGAATATAGGGTGAGGGATAGAATGAACGAATAAAGCGTGAGGAAATAAAGTGAGTGGTCGAGTCGTAGACGAGAAGATTAGAAGATTTTAGTGATTTTATAAGTTCGATGGTTTTAATGGTTAAAAAGAAGTTTTGTCGTTGAAGAATATAAGGAGGTGTATTACCTTAATACCCTCTTTGACCTCAAAAACAAACCTGAAGCAGAAAGAAGAATTTGCACAATCAGAGCCGAAAACTCGTCGAGTGCACCCTTATAACTCGACAAGTTCCAACAAAAATTAACGATTTATGCCCATATGACGATTCAACTCGGCGAGTCTCTACATAAAACTCGACGAGTTGCTCATTCTTTTATCTTTGAGTCGACGATTTGATTCAATTCAAGGCGGCAATTGGCTATATTTTTGAAGACCATTTCTAGGCGATTCCAAGATACTTTTTCCCACATATTTAGAGTTGTCAACCACACGAGTTTTGATGCCCAAGGCGTGGATGAGCAGTTCATATGCCTAAAGTCAGCTGAAGATGGAGCTAAATTGAAGAAGATCACCATCGTCACTACTATCCCAGGGGAGTTTGTTCCAATTCTCATTTTACTTTTATGTTATTTAATTGTTTTAATATGCAATGGGGACATTGCATGAATTAAGTGTGGGGTAGGGGGTTGGTTACATTAGTTAAAATTTTAGTTAAATTTTGAAAATTTTGCATGAAAATTGCTAGGGCTAATTTAGAAATTTTTGGTAAAGCAATTAGGGATCATGCTAGTATTATATTTGATGATTGCATGAAAACCCAAATGTTTACTTGAGCCTATATACGTTCTAGTGCATTTGTGGCTTCCTTATTCTAGTGAAATCATGGGACAAAAACACGACCTCGCTTAGTTTGAAAGATGCAATATGTTTAGCATTGTGTACCACAAATGTATCCAGGAAAATTATTATCGTTAACCAATAAATGTTGAAGTTGAGCGCCCCTCCTTAAACATGTAGGGTTTTGAGTGGAAAAAGTGAGTTATATGTAAAATAAAAAATAAATAAATTACAAAAAAAAAAAAAAAAAAAAGAGAGAGAGAGAGAGAGAGAATTACAATAAAAAGTTTGAAGAATTTTTGGAGCATCAAAGTTAAAGTATGAAGTTCAAAGATCAAAAATTCTAAAAAAATTCAAAATTTCAAGATACCTAAAAATTA